GAGAGAGAGAGAGAGAGAGAGAGAGAGAGAGAGAGAGATTATCCAATCTTGAAATGAGCATCGTGGATATGAAGTCTTCCCTATCTCAATACAAATCGAATATTCTCTCTGTTTGAATCGCAAGAGAGAAAAAGAGAGATTATCAAATGTTGAAACAGACATCTTGGATATGAGCGATAGATGTCGGAACGATGACTTTCCTAACATCGACTTAGACTAGATTCAATGACTTGATATAACAGTATTAATATTATTCAAATTATGATGGTGTTTACGGTGGAATTAGTTTTAAGGATTCTTTTTACTCGGACTAGCACAATCAATGTTTCAATTTAGGTATGTTAACGTTCTTATGGATTTGAAACACAACGCAAAAAAGAGAGACAGAGTGGAAACTTTCAATGATTGCTTGTCTCTAAATATTCGTTAAGTATTATCAAGCAATAATGTTCATGTATGTAAATACTTAAATACATAGAATGAACAACACGTATATTAGTAATGCAAATCATAGTTCATTTCGTACAATGGTCAAATTACATTACACATTAAAGCATACTGATCAAAGTATACGAATACACTACGTGATTAAAAGAAGAAAAAGAAAACTATTCTACTTCTACCCCTAAAAACAGAAAAGAAAAGTGACCGAGAAATAACCATACCCAAAAACGATTCCTTGCACGAAAGCCATATGCACAGGCAGAGAGTGCTTCAGATTCTAGTCTTAGTATGAGTTTTCTGACCTCGTGAAAGGCTAAGCTTTGCCTATTTATATAACTCTCGAGAGCAGTTATCTTAGGGTCGTTACATTAATGATATTGATCCTCATATTAAATCTCTTAGCTTGGTGAATATTTGACCATCCTTTAATTCTAATTACTAAATTTGACATTAGAGGATGATTAGGTCTCTTAAAATATTTTTAAAACATTTCAATATTAAAAGTTGCGAACAAGAAAATATTGAAGTCACAAAATATTTAAATGAAAAGAATATATTTTGTGAGTAATAATATTTGTTAGAAATACATTTTTTATTTTTCATTTGAAAATGTTAAAAATACATTTTAATATTAATCACTTTATTTTATTAACATTTAGAATTGTTGTAACTTTTATAAAGTCTAAACACTTAATTATTTATTTTTTTTAATGTTTTTTTAAAATTAAAAATCAGACTAGTTCATCAGATAACCCATTTTTTTTACAAAAATTGGTCGATTTAGTCCAATTTAATTATTTGATGAATAAATTGTTCTAAATTTAATATCATTCCCATTCGAGCAGGCCAATCTGATCTTACTTTTATAACACTGCTCAAAAGTTCTTTTAAGTTATATTAGAGACTTTGTAAAAGTTAATTTTCATACCAATAATTGAGTAGGTTATTATGTATTAAACATTTTAATTTACTAACTTCTGTGTATATAAAGAAACCCATGCAAGTGAAGTTCAAATAAGGCCAAATTAAAATACAAGAGTAGATCTAGAAACCCATCCAAATACAAAACATGATGATCATCCCAACTGTGCTAGTTTTACCATTTCCAGGTCAAGGGCATGTGAACCCCATGATGATCCTCTCACAAAAGTTGGTTGATCATGGATGCAGAGTCATTTTTGTGAACTCAGACTTCAACCACAAACGAATGATGAGTTCTATGGTGGAGCAACAACATAGCCTTGATGAATCACTACTCAAGTTGGTCTCAATCCCCGATGGTTTAGGACCCGATGATGATGAGAGAAACGAGCCAGGGAAGCTACTTGATGCTGTTTTCAGCACCATGCCTAGAACGCTTGAGAAGCTGATAGAGGATATTCATATGAAGGGTGACCATAAAATCGGTTTCATTGTTGCAGATTTGGCCATGGTATGGGCGTTCGAGGTTGCAAGTAAATTCGGAATCAAAGGAGCTATATTCTGTCCTATAGCAGCAACTATGTTTGCCTTGTTATGCAACATCCCCAAGCTTGTTGATGATGGGATCATAAATTCTGATGGTAAGAAATTAATAATAATTTCATACATTTTACTACATATCCATATTTGTTTGACTTTATTTACTCTAGAAAACTTCTTTGATTTTTAATCAAGAGCATGAAAATTAATTTGTACTCCAAACTATGGCTACCTTGAAGAATTAATATATGTAAGTAATAATTTAACTAATGCACCGCACAACAATTAGGTGGAAAATGTCGATAGTATAACTAAAACTAAATTATTAACGTAGATGAATACACGGTTAGAAATAAGATTTTTAATAAATATACATTAAATCATGTAAATTTCAATAGGCAATTTTGTAAAAATACAAAATAAAGCTTGCACCTATAAAAAGACTGTTATGAAATGTGTTGTTATAAAAATCTATATTATCTCCTATTGAAAAAAAAAAAAAAAAAGTTGATAAAGAGATTTCCTTTGATCCTTATTGTAGCTTGAGATATTAATTAGTACAGAATGTCTTTTACATCGGTTAAAAATGAGGAATGCTACACGTTCCAAAAAAAAAAAATCGAACATCATCTGAAATTTTAAAATATTTATATTTTTTAATAAATTTATTATAAAATAATTATTTAATTTAATATTTTATAATTTAAATTAATTTTTTAATCAATTGGGAATAGATTTTGAAATTTGAGTTTGGATGACGTAGAATTTTTCGTTAAAAATAGAGTATTTATACAGTCGCCAAATTTTTATTCGAAACTTCATCTGAATAATTAAAATAATAATATTTTTAATAAATTTATTATATAATAATATTTATTATTTTAATTATTCAGTCGAAGTTTCAGATTAAAAAAATTCGAAGATTAAATCATTATTCTTAAAAATAACATTCACATCAATTATAGAATTGATGTAGATATATTTGATGTAAAATTGACGTGACTTTTACCTAGCGAGAAAAGTTGCAACCTCCTTTCTACATCAAACGTTATCTCTTCTCTTTTTCAACTCTCTTCCTCCACACATCTTCCAACAACACAAGATAAAGGATAAGGAAATCGGAAGTTCAAGTCATGTACAACATTAAAACCTAAGAAAAAAATAAATAAAAGGCCCAAAACTTTAAGAAAATTGAGAAGTACTGTAATTTTTAAAAAGATCACCATGTCACTAGTTATATCAGTTGTTACACACAACCAATACAAATAAGGATGTAAAATAGTAATTTTGTTACGGTTAAAATTTCTAAATTAAATTTTAAAGAAAAGTTTCCTTCGTTCTTTTTTTTTTTTTAAATTATTAACTAGTAGAATTAAGATATTTCATGTTTCTATAAATTTTATTTAAATAAAAAATACTTTTTAAAATAAAAATAATAATGTCTCTCTATAAAAGTGCTGATGTACGGTTATTTTAAAAAAATCAATAAAAACTTCCATAAAATTACTAAAAAAAGAAATGTTAGAAAGATATAGTTACAAATTTGACCATAACCTTTAAAAAATATTTAAGGGTTAAAAATTAAAAAAGAAGTGGGCATCAAATTAAGGTATCATCTTTATTAATATTGTAGATATCTCTTTATAAAATAAAATTCGATTTTTATTTATTTATTTATTTTGAAAGCTTAAGACAATAATATTTTTACAACTAGCTTTGTCTCTGCTGCCTGATATTTTAATACTTTATGCAATATATGAATCTTAATTGAAAGATAAATATAATAAATTCGTTTTAATTAATGTTAAAAATATTTTTAATATAAACGAATATATATTATAAACTAAAATATAAATAATAGTAATTTTACTTTTAATTTTAATTTTTACTTGACATTCATCCATATACAAATTGTGCTTAATGTTTTTAAATAGTTATAGGTCTTGTTTTGGATAGATATTTTTGGACAAGTTTTTTTCTCATTATCTAAAATTAGCTTATTCATAATTTAAAATAAGCTTTTATGAAAAATTTAATATGACGAGAGCTTCTATGAATTAAAAAATTAAATATTATCAAGACAACGTATAAATATTTTTTTACTATTTGTGTGTTAGTAAAAAAAAGTAATGCATGCTAAACATGTTTATAATAGACATGGCCCTGTCAAAATTAAACACAAAATGTCGATATCATAATTCATAAAATCATCTAAAAATTCGATATAAGAGAATCTTTTCTCATGTATTTCTACTTTAATTTTATTTTTTGTTGCAGGATCACTATTAACCACTAAAAAGACAATTCAACTATCACCAAATATCCCAGAGATAGACCCAAGATTGTTTTTTTGGTTAAATATGCCTGCTGGCAAAACGGATTTTATGCAATGTTCACGAATTTTAAATTCGATAGAATGGTGGCTATGTAACACAGCATATGAACTTGAACCTGGGGTTTTCAATTTTGTTCCAAAGATCCTCCCAATTGGCCCATTGTTGAGAAGTTATGAAAGTACAAATGCAACATCAAGATCATTGGGACAATTTTGGGAAGAAGATCTCTCTTGCATGAATTGGCTTGATCAACAACCTCATTGTTCTGTCATATATGTTGCCTTTGGCAGTATCACTATTTTTGACCAAAGCCAATTCAATGAATTATCTCTTGGACTAGACCTCACCAATATACCTTTTCTTTGGGTTGTGCGTCAAGACAATAAGATGATGTTCCCTAATGAATTCCAAGGGCATAAAGGTAAGATAGTTAGATGGGCACCTCAAGAAAAAGTTCTAAGTCATCCTGCCATTGCATGCTTTGTTAGCCATTGTGGTTGGAATTCAACCGTGGAAGGTTTGTCAAATGGTGTGCCCTTCTTGTGCTGGCCGTATTTTTCAGACCAAATTTATGACAAAACATACATTTGTAATGAGTTGAATGTTGGGTTGGGACTGAACTCAAATGAAAATGGACTTGTGTCACGGGAGGAAATTCAGAAGAAATTGGACCAACTAATTAGCGATGAGAATATACGATCAAGGTCTTTAAAGCTAAAGGAGAACCTAATGAACAACAAAGGTCGATCTTTAGAGAACCTCAACAAATTTGTCAAATGGCTTAAAGAATAAGGATTGGCCTTTTGTGCATATATATTGTATCATTTGCTTACTATCGAACAAATAATTAAGACGAGTTTAAATTGAGTGACATGAGTGAGTAGTTAATAATATTGTAGAAAACTATAAATTAATAAATTAATGATAGTAATTAAGTTTAAATGTATGTAAATTAAATGTAATTAAATGTTTCTAAATTTGTGTAAAAACTATAAAGAATCAAAATTTCATAATGGAGGGAGTACACTATGCAAAGTTCTACAAATCTGAAGATTGTCCCAAATAAATCTTCAACAAAATATGGTAGGTTTTCCAAATAGATGAAATGTTGAAAATTAAATATAAAGGATTTTCTAAGTTCATGAAAATGTTTTTAAGATGTGAATAATTATTTCTTTTAGGGAGTGTTTGAGAATTACAAATTCAAGGAACGATGATTCTTAAGAATAGTTAAAATTTATTTGGTTACTCATAAAGGTTCATAAGAATGTTTATACAAGATTCTCGAGAATTTAAGATTTTTATATTTGGTTACAATATTATATTCTTAAATATATAAATACTTTTTACAAAAATATTTTTTTTAAATAAACTTTACTCAAATCTTATTAAAAATATGACATTACTATTTTAAAAAGTTAAAAGCATATAGTTAAAATTATTTAAATATAAAATTTAACAGAAGAAATAAACAAAGAAAAATGCTACATAATAATTAAGAAGGATAAAAATATATTATTTCATTTCATTCAAATAAATAAATAAACAAGTGTTAACAAATACCATTAAATTGCATAAACAAAATGAATTTTAATAATATTATTAAAATTGATAAGATCAAAAAATAATGAAATACAAGAAAGAGAAAAAGAAATAGAGATATGGGAGGGAGAGAGAGAAGGGAGAGAGAAAGAGGGAGAGAGAGAGGGAGAGAGGAAGAGAGGGGGAGTGAGAGTGAGAGACGGGGAAAGGGGGAAAAAGAAATAAAAGTAAAGAGAGAGAGAGGGAGAGTGATAGATCGTCATAGAGAGAGGGAGAAAGAGAAATAAAAGGGAGAGAGAGAAAGGGAGATGGAGAGGGAGAGTGAGAGAGGAAAAAAAGGGGGAGTGAGAGTGAGAAAGAGAGAAAGATAAAGAGAGAAAGAGAAATTGAAGGAGAGAGAAAGAGAAATAAAATGAGAGAGAAAGAGAGAAAATTTTCTATTTTAAGAAGGATGTTGTGGTATTTTAATATGTATAAATAAAACTTTTTTTCTAACTCGAAAAAGTTGAATTCTCACCCATCTTATGAGAACATTTAATTATTAACATCAACCTAGTCGATTTTATTGGGTTAATAAATTTACTTTTCAAAAATTATATTTGATGATGATTAAGCCAATGCAAACAATTCTATTTTTTTATTCTAATAATAGTAGTGTTAGAAAATATATTAAGAAATTGATAAAAAAAAGAATAGTATTTTTTGGTAATTGATAAAAAAAAATATTTTAGTGATAGTATAACATAAAGAGATCGACACTATATTTAGTATTAGTTCGTGGTTGATACGATTTTAAGTGTATGTGGTTGATACTAATTTAAAACTTTTTTAAATAGTGAGAGTTGTTTTTGTTGAATAATTTGTTGATAATATTGTGAAAACACGGATTTAACTTGGAGAAGAGTGCGACCTACACCATTCAAAGAATGTTTTCTTTAGCATTTCTCTTTTGTTAAATGTTTCCTTGAAACTAACATGTATCACTATGGATTGCAAGAAAGCAATTCAGCATGCTTATCTAAAGCATGCCTCCATTGATGTAGGGAAGCAATATTCTAAGGTAAGACCTAGCTAGTTCTATCCACAACCACCCGTTTTGGGATTATTTGTTTGTTTGGAATATTGAGCAACAAACTAAATTTCGTGGGTTTCATGATCTAGAGATGGATCATTTTTCATCATTTCAGACATGAAAAAAAGAAAAAGCTTTCAGAAGGTGCAAATTAAATGTGGATGACAACTATCAACCACTTCTCTATGACCCAATTTTGAAAATTTGGGCAAGCGATTTCATAAAATATTTTCTCTTGTTTCTTACCAAAATAATAATAAAATTAGATTTTTTTAATTTAATAATAAATGACAGCAATAAGTTTTAAACTTGAGATTATATACATATTGGTCTAATTGTTGTAAAATCAACATATGCCAAGGTACGAGATAAGTATATATATTTAGATATTATTTACAGATTAAAATCATCTATAATACTACTTTAATGAATTAAATAATATTTAATTTAAAATTAAAGACAATCATATAATTATATTAATAATATTTTAATCATAAAATAAAAATTTTTAGATTTTAAAATAAAATGGGATTTAATTAGAATTTGAAAATAATAATGTACTAGACTACTCGTAATACTGTAGCAAAAATATACTAGTAATATATGAATCCTTAATAATATAAGGACCTTCTATCGTCTCTATACTTAGTGGAATCGCACTATTACTAGTGAACTAAGAGAATATAGAAATTGAATGACTCATACAAACAGGTATGTAAATATAAATATAATAACTACGTTTCTATGTACAAAATATAGCATCATATATGTACAGTCATCACAAAATCATAACCTCCTAGTGTCGGTTAAGCACACACAACAGTTACTCAAGAAGGTAACTCTGACACTAGGACAAAACTCCTCCTCTCGTAGCGGTCACCTCAACTCCAAGCTAGCCCTGAGCTGTTCTCATATAAGGTATGATTATCACAGTCCATCCACATGAAAATAGAAGGGTAAGCTAAAGTTCAAAAAGCAATTATACAAGTACATAATAAAATCTATACTACACATGCATCCAAATCAAGTCCCAAAGGAACTTCCATCTCAATCAATCATCAACTCATCAAACACCATACACTTCATCATCATAATAGTCATGCAATACATGCAACTCATGACAGATATCAATGCATATCAATCATCTAATGCGTCGTCATGCATACACTTAGGAGATCTTCCTAACAACGAAGTAGTATAAGTGACATCCCAATCCTACTGAAACCACCTCAACTATTTTCACGCCCAATGCACCCGCTCGGTCACAGCTAAACAGGATATAAATCCTCACTCGGGTTTACTCAGATGATGTCACTTACATAATTAGAAGTCTGGTTCCACTGTCAGGCAGGGTTTTAAATTGCGGAACGCATCCCGCATTGCGGCCGCAATATTGCGGTTGCGGCCTTGTCCGCAACGGCATCGGATCGCAATTGCGGTGAGACCGTAAATCATGACTTTTTCCGTAACGTAACGGTGTTGTCCGCAACACCTCCGTTTTGAATCCGCAAACGACAAGGTAGAACAGGGAATCGTTTTTAAAAAAGTTAACTTTTTTTGGGAATCTTTTCAGAGAATGCAACATAGATACAGAGAAATTATTCACGAGATCAATAATGGTTCAAACTTTAACTTAAAAGGTGAAAAACAAAGCATAGAACTTACACTTTCATTCGGAACTCCCTTTGTATCTCTACCAAGAAGAGGAAGCTTGGTTGTTAATGGTAAGTTTTCTGCCTCTTACGTACCCCTATTTCTCTTTGTTGTTGTTCGTTGATATCCTTGCCATTGTTGTTGGCTTGATTTTGGCTTGATTTTTGCTTGAAATGCTTGATTTTGGTTTTTTGCCGCGGTGAATATGGATTCTGGAGTGTGGGGGATTAACGGCGGCGCATTCCAACAATGAGCAACATTAGGAAAGAAAACCTAAATTTCTTTTAATATAATTTTTTATTTAGTGAGTTGGACGTGTGATGGGGACCCAAATTGAATCTTGGACTCTATCAACGTGGGCCTTTAGTGTTTAGGGAATTAACGGAGCATGAAAAAAATTAGAATGGGCGTGGGCTAGCTTTGGGCTTCTGTTTGTGGCCTTTAATTAAAATTTTAAATGGCCTTTAGTTATCAAATTAGAATGGACGTGGGCTAGCTTTGGGCTTGTGTTATTATCCGATTGTTTATCGAATTATTTAAGTAGAGACTTTATACTTTTCGATGAAAACCTATTCTGACCTGCATTTTGATCTGCATTTAATGCGAATGATCGTTTGATGCGACATTGATGGCACTAACGGCGCGTGCTTCCATTTCCTCAAGTTTCATCACTGTGATACGTTTTTTGGCGGCCATTTTTAACGTTCATTTGGCTTTCAAATTAACTGATGGGCCTGTTTTACCTTAGGCCCGTTAAAAACCCTTTTTTACCCTAGAGTGAAAACCACTTTCACCATGGCTTTCCTTCGCACCTAAGTTTCCTTGCTTCCTCTCTGTCTTGTTTCTTGATTTTCTTCTCCGGCGAACTCTGTGTACCTTACTTTCTTACCTTCATTCCCAAGGTCTTTGCTTTCGCGTGTTAATGGCTTCTTCTGCTGCATCAATTTTCGCTGCCGTTGCATCTGTTGCTTCACCCACCATAGCTTCTGCATCGTCTCCTACGTTGGCCACTGTGACATCCCCTGTGATGGCCACTGCGACCTCTACTCAGGCTGTTCCTTTGTTGATGAGCAACGCGCAAGTTTGCACTGTCCCTGAGGGCAATGATGCTTTTGTACCTATTCCTGG